CGTTATAATAATAAGTCATACTTTTTGTATCATTTTTAGTAAACGTAATAGTTGACGGTTTTTCAGTCGACCATGAACAACAAACAATGCTAGAACCATAGATACAATGCAAGCCCACTGTGATCTCGGCCAAACCCCACAGAAAACTTCTAATCAAAATCAAGATATCATGTTTTTTTTTTTTTTTTTTTATCATTTTTTCTCAGATCAAATGGACTTTGGCTAAGCGCCAAAGTAACGTGAGTACAGTGGTACAAAGCAGTAAATTTTGAGTAAACCGTTTGAGAAACACTTTAAAAAAGACAAACCGATATTTAAGATAATGAACAAATGTGTTGTATTTTCAAATCAAAACAGAAAAAAAACCATTGTTACAAGGTACATTACCGAAGTAGAAAGAAACAGAGAGACCTCCATTCTGTTTTATAATGGACGGTCTATCCAGAGGACGCTTTCTTTGTTTACAGAAAAAGACTTCATGCTCGTTGATATTAAAACCGTAGGCCTCTGACTACGCGTATTCGGCCTTACATTATTGCATGAAATTAATATCAGATAGTTATAGGGCGTTCTGCCAGTAATACTTTATAATTAGCTGACTGAGTTTTAGATTTAGTTTTAAATAGAGAGATTTAGAGGTAAGCAGCTCTGTTGTCAAATGGCATTCCCTGGTAGTTAAGGTTACTGAGATTTGAATTATAAGCCTCGATCAGCGTGCCCGTTTTGTACGCAGCCATAATTATCGGTCTAAAAAAAACCTATTAAAAAACAATTTGGTCTACTAATCGAGTTGCTAGACGGCGACCAGTGATCATACCAATTATCAGTGTCGATTCTCTAGATAAGTACAAAAGATGGTTCAATATACTTTTATTCAGTTTAGAGCAGATTCCTGCTCTTTATCATAATGGATATAGGTAATTCCATTATGGAACACCAGAACTGTGGTGCGATCAGGAACGTTTGTTTGGCCGCGTCTGAATGACAGGTACGTGGTGGATACCTTGGTCGTTGACCGTAAATGCATTATATAACCAAACCATGCATTATATAACCAGGGAGTTTAAGGCGTGATAGGTTTCCTAAATGAGGTTAGGAAGTTAAGTGGTGCTTGCTTATTCAAGAAGACATTATTGTTAGAAGACTATACAGGCTAGAGAGGCGTAATACCGCACTGGGCTGGTACTTTTGTAGCGAAATGACTCGCATTATATGACGTAACCATATATTACTTATTCCGTGCCTGTTTTACACTCTGCCTATATTTGCTTGATTGAACATCGGTTTTGTTATCTCACAAGTGAGCGATTTCGTAACGACATAAGTATAGTATACTATAAAAGCAGCATATACGTCGAGCTGGAATAATTAGTAAAGAAGGCTTTACATATTTCTTAAATATTCGTTCAAAAATATCACATACTTTAACGATTACCTTTTTTTTAGTTAGCCATAAACATGTCTTAAAATGTTTCATGAATGTCATGTTAGACTCTACGTAGTCTTGGTAAAGCTAAAGCTTCTCGACGCCAAGACCCGGATACCCGATCCGGAACACCAGTAGCTTAGGTTTGTTTTTAATGTTCTTTTTCTGTTTATATATTCGCTGTTTGTTTTCTTCTACAGGAGATGTCTGGTTTTTGCAGATTCGTTGTCGAGCTCGAAACTTTAGGTGAAGAAAAGCCTGTTCCATACGTAATGTATTCAGCCTTTTGGCGAGGTTGAATAGCTGCCCAAGCAGCATGATATTTTTGTGCCGGGTACATTAAAGCCTCCAATGGAGAGAATTGGTTTGTGATTGGAACTAGGGGATGTAGCCCGCTTGATAGGGATCACTTAAAAATACCTTGAAAGGAATCGGCTATTATACAATTTGTAAGTTGCATTTACACGATCATGGGTAAACACTTCGGATCTATGAATTTCACTTGAAAATTAAGAGTTTGACTGCCCTATGATCCAAAGAAACATCACAAAGAAATACGGCTTTTGATTGCTTTTCAACGTCGTGCTCGGCATAGCGCGATACGCGGCCATTGTAACATATTTCTATGTGTAATTCCCACCGATGATAAGAGCTGTTGTCACCACGTTCCCACAGAAGTATTAGTAGCTACCCGCCCAAGCCCAGATTTAGACCCGATCTTTGTCCCAAAAGGTGACGATTTGCGTTCGGCGGAACTGGAAGCATCTTGGGGAGACTGGGAAATATTTGAGAAGAATAAAACGGTCAACAGAGATTTGTGTATGACCGAGTAGCATTGAAACAACCCCTTCTTCATAATAGTGCAAGATCCTATATGGATGGTTCTTTCACCTTTACTAGAATCTCCAGACCTCGATCATGAAGATTATCACATTTTTTAATGCGATATTTTTTAATAATTAGCGAATGAAATTGTGGTTCTGCATTTGACATTAAAGGGACAAACACTTAAATCCTGGCTAGCTAGAGGAGTTCTTTAATATCAGAGCTAAAAATATCTAGGGAAAAAAAATAAGTAAATTGGTTGACGGACGAGAAAATATTGTAAACGAACACATAATCCGTTGATAGAATTCGGGTAGAAAGTTGTTTATAAACAATAAAATGAATCAGGTTCGAGCGTAACATGTATGTAAGGTAAAGCAAGAGTCTCCTGACCGTTAAAGTTTTCATTTCGCACCTGTGTAAGTATCAGGAGATACGTGAATTACTCGCATAAGGACCAGATTTAACTGTACAACACATTTATAACAAACAACCCTATTCCTATAACATTAGGCTGTTACAAGTGAATTCGGCAAACTCTTGAATTAGTTGAACTAGAACGATGACGTTTTAATATATGTCGGAGGTACTCTTTTTTAATTTTGATATAGTTGTCCTAGTGCTTTAGCAGTTTCTGGATAGCCATATACCTACCATTCGCGTTCTCCTGTGTAATATATCCATCTACGCTTTCTCGAAGTCAGTGTATGTTTGCTCTGTACCCCGTACCCACTCAAAGTTGGATCGGTAGAATAAACGGACCGAAAGCGCTGTTAGTTATTCTTTTACTCGATCCAGGACGTAATTGGGGGATGGCAATAAGGTCTGGCGTTGTTGTCAAGTAATCGGATTGTGTGATTTTGATGACCGTGCTAATAATCCATAAGTCTTTTCAGGAAGTCAAGATGGCGGACTGCGTTTATTATTTCATTTTCGACGAGTATTTCATAGCAGCAGATGTCCCAGATGTCCGAACGTAGTCGACACGGCCACCGAAACCGATTTTTCTCCAGGAAGATGCCATTATTTTGCTCGGTATTGTTTCGTCTGGCCGTAAAGACTGAATTATGCCTCATCTATGGTGCGCGTACGCTCTAGGCGGCCTCTTACTAATTATAGTCCCGCAAGTCACACGTATTCGTTTTTGAAACGTTTACACTATTTCATTTAAGGCTCCCTTGGCTAATATTTTTACCAATATCTTTAATAGTATCAGTGAATTTACTCACCACTGTAGCGTTCAAAAGACAAAAACTTGATTATTAAGTACTAATATTCCAGAGTAAAATATATTTCTCTTTCCGCGCTTTTTTCTCAAGTAAACTTAATCGATTTTTATTTACAAATTGCTAGAAGATTGTGAAGTATATTTCAGCTGAATAGCGGCGCGTTTTTTAAATGTTGTTAAATATATATATATATATATATATGTATATATATAAATATATTTCTATATATACATATAATTTCTATATATATATATATAAATATATGTATACTACAGGGTATTTTGGTATTACTTAATAAAGCTATTTTAATGATCACAACAGTCACATGTTGCGTTTAAATATATGTTAACGTTATGACCTTGTAACATAATAATATAAAGCCGTAGAAATGGTACTGGAGAGTGTGCGCTACAATTGAGCACCGTTTTTATATAGCAGAAATTATCGCACTGTTTCCTCTTTTAACAGATGTGAAATAAAGACTACCTAAGTTCTGAAAAACTTTTTTAAGCGTCCTAGAGCTTTTTGCCCCACCCTAAATATGTAGCACGACTTGATACGAAGACGTAAAACATTATGCTAGCTAGATACATCTATGCATCCCGCTAATAGCTAAGATTGTAGCGAGGTTTGTACAATATGCTGATTTTGCATGTTCGAACCTGGACATACTAAACATTTTTACAGTGATTTTTCTTGTAAGAAGATATCTTTACAATAAGCACAAAAAAAAAATGAGGAAAAGCCGGAGGCAATCGCATATGAGGGTCGTATAGCTACGAGGCGCGCGCACTGCTTCCGCAATAGTGAAGTTCTCCGAAGACATAGCCACTAAGGCATTGCAGGTGAAGGGTTGGCTAGGACAATTGTTTTTATGTGCAGCTACGTTGGCAGTGACGGAAACGTTTATGGATGCTGATAGTTAGAACTTGCCAAAAATTATTTAGAACCTACCAAAAAAGCTATTTCGTTGTTGTACTAATGAGGTTCGCGGTTGATGCACACACGAAAATGAGCGAAAACCGAATACTATCATCGGGTGTACTTTAGTTTTAGCACACAACACATTAGTACTTCATTGTAGGTTTTTTCTTTGCTAAGGAGCGATTATGTGTATGCCTGTTTGTGCCTGCGTACAAAACAAAGTTTTCAAAGCTAACTATATAGAGGAAAAACAGGTTCCCAGAAGTAGCGACTAAACATGCAGACCATGCCAAAAAAACAGCCGTCATTTCCCAATGCCGGTTAACCGCTGGATTATAGACACGTATATAAAAATATACATAAATTAAAATTTGTAAAGATTTCCGTTATTTTTGTTCTAACATACGCATGCACAGCCCCTTTACGACAACATTGTATAATAAGAAGCACCCCGCTTGTACGTTTGTTGTTGACAATATATTTTCAGTTTGATCAAGTACTGTTCGGAGCATCAGAAATCAGACGTTCTAGTAAACGGCATGCCACAGTCAGAAAACCCGTTTAAGGAAAGCAAGTCCTGCGTCATTGTATAGCTACGCGTCGCCGCTGCCTTTTTGCACAGTCTCGTTTGGGCAGGCAACGCTGTTATCGTCCAAGAGATGGCAAAGCAGATATCCGGCAGATCCAGGTCCATGACCACTACCATCAACAACGGGCTCTTGTCTACCAATCGCCGTCAACGCTTTTTTATGATCGCCTTAGAGCATGCCATATGTCAATCGATCTTTCCCCGCAGTTTTACCGATCCCGGTGATAGATGTGTATTTTTCTCTAGGGACGAATAAAAGAAACAAAAGACAAAGGTGCTAACAGGCGCGTCTATCACATCACGAAGAGAAACACTGCGTGGGAATGAACGAGTAAGAAAAAGGTACGTATGTCTACGTGTAGATCAAGAGTGTGTGTTATGAGGTTAACTACGATAATTTAGTAGTCTAATAGCGGCATGAGTGCAATCGATTGATGTCGTGTTAAGAGGAAGTATATAGATTCAACTATACATACAGCTGTTGAAATTGCATTTTTTTTATAAACTTGCGAAGGTGGCGCAAGGCAAGCAATAGAACCCGGTTTGTGAGTGCTATGATGACTTTGTATAGTTTACTATAATGGGAACGACAGCAATTGACGGTTGCCCATTGCTCGAGTTCCAAGTTCAACAAAAAGGTGTAACATCAGGTATAAGACTACAGCCTGTCACAAAAGTTTTAGAACCAGACTGGAAAGTTTCCATGTATAAACATGCGCGTCGTTTATGACGACTCTAGCAGAATAAACAGGCTGAACATATATAGAGATATCAAAACACGTTTGTTAGAGGTTTAACGCCAGTCAAATAAAGTTTCTTTGTGCATAGAGGTTCCCAGCTCTCAGCTTTCACTGCGCGAGCTGAACACACAATTTCTACCAGTCTCCAATCACATTTGAGTCCGTGTTAGTAACCCACAATGGGAACGGGCATTTCATGGGTTACACGTTTAACTTCTATGCGATCGTATCTAAATCAGTAATACGAGATCAAAGATTGCGGTGATCGCGATAAGGTAAAGATGGTTCCATGATAACGAGTGTAGAAAACTTCATTCCGAAGTTAAACGTTGGAAGCGAAATAAAGCCGTCGAACTTCTCTGGTGTGTGCTACCGCAGAAAGAGACCGGGTCATTTGTAATTAAAGCAAGTACGTCGTATCCATCAACATGCATTGCTCGTATTAATATAGAATTTTGTTGGGCAGATAGCATTAAGTGGGGCGTGCGTTTCACATTCACACCGTCATGGATATTACAAACAGGCAGAGGCGCGCCTCTAAACAGACATGCTTTCTAGAATAGTATCACTGTAGCTGAAGAACATTTCATATCGAAAACGCTGAAATTTAATCGGAAGGTAAATACAAATAACGCAAAGTCACTACTGCATATATACAGATTCCGTAAAGGTAAACAGCTAGAGCAATGAAAAAAGGAAATGGACAAAAACTGAAATAACTGTTATGGTCAGAATAAACAAACACTAATAATAGACTTGTTATGTGTTAATACAGAGGGGCACGCAGGACGTCTCATAGCAACGATTCGTAACAAGTCATAGGAATTTCCAGTTATTATTATTATACCTATTATCGGATTTGTTATCTTGGCAGAACTGCCCCAAAGAAGCAATTTAACAAAAATATGCAAAAGGGGTTCAACATCGCCAACGAGAATGCAAGACGATCAAATAGAAGAATTGTTATTAAAGTCAATGCAAAGTCATGGCATGCTTACGCACACTAAACCTACATATATTAAGCGTCTTGCACGACAGCACGGTATTGTTTACGCGCCAGAGTATCTGGGCGTACCATAGTCATAATGGAAGACGTCTGCGTGTACGGCAGCAGAAGACGCCAATGGCCTGTAACAAACTCCCATAGGGCTTGATTTGGTGCCACAATAGCAACGTAATACTTAATACCTGCAAAAGTCAAGTAAAGAAATTTGAGGACGCGGAAAGCTAAACACGATATAAACTTAATTATAGACTCCCCGTTATAACTTCGTGGGTAATGTATTTATCTTCTAATCTAAGGGACACGTTGTTGTTTAAGTTCGAACCCAGGACATAGTTCTTATCGCCCTGAGGGCCAGTTGTCGGGTGGAATGCCTAACGGCGATACTGGACGTAAAAGCTCTAAACAATTAAGGAGGCCAGGAGTAAAAATTCGTATCCGTACCTACAGATATCTTCGAATGATTCTATAACTAGGACAGGGCTTTAAAGCAGCTTAGGACAAAAGCAAGCATTGCAATAGCTCACCTTCGCAAACATACAAAAACTTGCACCGGCCACTCTACCCGCATTGGTTATATTGTCAATTGTAATAAACTACTTAATATTATTTCTCAAAACGCTCCTTTCGGCCTGTTACTGATGCTTTTTTAAATAATAACGAGACGAACTGTTTAAGACTTGTTCTAGGTTTACTGCGAAGTTGATCACATGCATCTACAGCGAACAGCACAAAAAAGAACAGAAAGGCAAAAAGAATCGATTCCGAAATTCGCTGGAACAATATATATATATATATATATATATATGCGACTTATATGGTTCCTTATATCAGCATGCAGGAGACTGCAACCAATATCTGTTCCACCCTCCTATACAGCATTCACGGTGGTTTACTAGTTGAATAACGGAGCACATGACTAGCTAGCTAGGGCGTTTCCCATGCTACCAGCGGTAAGGGGGTCCAACTAATCGACCGTTTATCAACGGTCATCGTCCTTCTATTTCCCTCAGTGTTCTTCTGAGTGATGGAGTCTTCTAGCGTTTGGTCGGCCATCACCCCGCGTAGGAACGCCTCTAACTAGCAAGCTCAATTGTCCCTTGTACGTATTCTTTCCTGTGTGAGTATGTGTTTTTGTGTGCATCTAAACGGGGGATAAAGTCTTCTGTGTGGAATCATATAAGTCCTTGGCAAAGTAGCTCACTTATGCGGTTAATAGTGGTGCCGTTGCAATGCTCCTTTTTGGTGAGGTGTTCCGTCTTGGGGATTCGCCGCTCGCGTGTTTGACTTGGGTGGACGGCAAAGCGAGGTGTGAGGATGTTAGCCTGCGATGGCACTTACAGAAACGGATGGCGATGCAGTCCCGCAGGAAGGCTAGCCCTCGATATCGAAATGAAACTGGTTGAGCCTCACCGTTGGTCTGATGCATTCGCGGGAACGTACGTAGCACGCGCATCTTTCGGGAAACTTCCTTTGCTTTCTAATTTAACTAGAAGCTCATTTTTGTAGGACACAACATTGTTTCTGTAGAGACACCGGCCCATGACGTCGGCCTGAGGCGAGCGTCTGGCTGTTGGTGCCATTGCTAGATGTTTCGCTGCCGTCGAAGTCGATGTGCCATGAGTGTATGGCGGAAGACATGCAATAAAAAGGGACCATTTTTAGGATGATGATTTTTTAATAGGCTGTTAGTGCTAAGAAAAAAACGTTTTCTGTTGGTCAGTATAAATCGCATAAATGAATTGTTCAAATGGACGCGACGCAGGCATGCCATCAGTACGAAAACACACAAGATCAAAAGGGAATCTATAAAGTGTATGTAGAACATACCCATATTTCGTTATGATCTCCGCAGTAACTTAAAGGCATTTAGATGAGAACGGTAGGCGCAGTTTGCTGGTTCAAATCGTTACCATACCACGAGCAACTGCTGTCGGTAAAATTGGGCTATCCTATGTGGGACTAATCATAATTTGGCTGTCTCAGAGCTGCGATTCCGTTATACGATAGCATAGGAATACAATGTGGCGCAACGAGTGAACGAGAAATTTTTGAACACCGATCGTCAGTAACGTCTTATAAGCTGTAGCTCACGCTATGCAGGACTACGTTCGGAAAAATACGTAATAAATTTGGGTGCGAAACAGACCATTGGAAGTAATACACGCGTCGCACATTCGAAGTTGGTCAACAGGATTAGCTATCGATCTACGAAAAATCCCAGTAAAACAGGTCACATGTGAAAAGTAGCACCATGTAAAATGAGTGCATGCACATTTACAGCTTGTTTTTTATAATTAAAACGGATTTTCGTCGTTTTATCATTAGCACAACATTTTTCGGTAATAATAATAGAAACTGGACAAATGTAAAGGTGTAGTGTACCGCGGGTCGTCTACCAGTGTTAGTTTCAATTGACTCGCATTATTGAAATAGGTCGACTGGCATCTCTGTGGTTCCAAAGTAATTCACCCCAAATTAAATAAGAGATTACTACAACAATTACTGCCTCAGGTATTCAGCCAAATAGATTTATTTTGGCTAACCTTTTCCCTATATCTTTCGTTGTCCACTGACTTATCGAGATATTCGTCATGTATTCGCTGATTCATAAATTAAATGACAGCTTGCTATCAGGTCAAGTGGTCTTTTGTCTCGGTCATTCTCTCTCTTGACCCCTTCGTTGACACCTCCATATCATCATAATACAGCTCCTGGTTGCTGCCTCGAGGCATAACAAATCCGATACGGGGCACTAGACTTTCTACCACCGCTAGTCTCGTTCGTTTGCAGTGGTTCTTAAGGTTCTCCTTAGAGGCACGGTTCAATGAGCCTCCTGCTGCTGCCTCTGCTGTTTCCGGTCAAAAGGACAGAGGATAGATAGATAGATCGATCGCCTCCACGCTGTCGGATTTGAGCTGTGATTATGCCTTGGCCAAGCTGCGACACCTGCCGATAGGCTGGATGGGCAAGCGCATGCTATTGGTGAGGTGCAAAAGAGCTCGTACGGGGAGCATTCAGTGCCTGGTAGCTTTGGTAAGCTAGTTGATTATTCGGCCTGTTTCTGTAAGAATAAATTTCACCTGTGCCATATTTTCGTTATGTATTCACTCTAAATGACTTGTTCGTAATATAAAATTGTCATGTTTCTCCTATTAATTAGATAAGATGACACTTTTTGTACTTATTACCTAGCTGACAAGACGCCAATTAAAGGGATGTATAAAAAGAAAACTATGGTTTTAAAAATGACGACGTGCAATCGTATTGAAGTAAGTGACGGTCTAAGTACTGCATGACTCGATGTAAAAGTAAAGATAACTCGAAAAAAGTTTGTAACATTTTGTATAAAGAAATAACAAGAACGGCCAAAAAAAGACTGTTGATAGTGTATGAAACCAAGTAGCTACCGTTAATCGATCTTCACCTGATCGTTTGCTTTTCTTTTCTATCTTCTAGGTGTTGGGCTATTTACTAGATTTGGCAATTCCGAACAAAAAAGCCGATATAGGCACTAATAATAACTTTCTTCATGCCCGTCATCAGATTCATCATACACGGTAACAGCACAGTAGTGGTAGACGCGACGGCTCTCGCTGGGATGAGGGGCTTCCGGCTTAACGGCTCACCTACCCAATACCTGGGTGCAACTTGGGTGCATCGACAATCAGACGCGTTAGAACATAAAAATCATGACACGTTAGCTGTCATAAAACGAAAGCGCAAAAGATGAAAGCAAAGCGCTTACGGCGTTTATATTTAGTTGCAGACGAGTCGATGGAGTGGATGGAAGATGTGAGCTATCGGGGAATGAACTAGAAATAAACGAAGCTCTACGGGTCCGTAAAAAATCATGTGGCAGGTCTAAATTTTAAAGAGATGGGCGGCATATTTAAAAGGACTAACCGAGAAGCAGGATTGTCAGACCGAGAAACATGACTCACGACGTAAGACACAGGAAAACGAACCAAAAAATGTGACGCCACTAATGCAATGACTCCGCCTTGTACGAGCTAAATAATGAAACGAAAAAAACGGGCAGAGAACGCATGATACGGGTAAGCAGACACAAGAGATGACATGACTGAGCGAAACGAATAGTACAGGATACATGAAAAATAGGTATTCGCAGTCGTTCAAGACGTTCGAAGGTCTAAGCTGTTGTTCCGAATGATATAAACCGTCAGGTGTGAGATCTGCATGCTTGTGCATGACGCGCATGTTCTATGGCCGAAAGCTTGTTAATGCAAAACGTCCAACGTAAAATCGTCAACCTGATAAGCAAATGTGAAGATAAAGCGATTCGTGAAGAGTTGGATGGACGAAAGATCTGGGCTGCGGAAAAGGACAGAAAGATTGTGAGAAATTGTCCCAACATGGACAAACCTCATACTAATCGTAGCTAATACATTGCAGAAAAATAGAAATCTGAAAAAAAAACAAGCGAAAACTAAAATGACTGATGAATATCGTTACAAATGCCGTACGTTAATAATGGAAAAACAAACAAACAAACATTTACATATATATATATACATATATATATATATATATATATATATATATATATATATATGGAATACTCATAGTTGATCTAGACGAAGAAAAAGTGAACGGTGAAAAAAGTCACTGCCTTGAAAAATCCCTACAGCCTTTTGCTGGTACTTGTGGTCTGTATTCCGTAATGATCATAAAGATTGTGGAAATGATGCTAATCGCATAATTATAATAATGTTCAGGGTAGTAGGAATAACGGTAAGCAAGTTAGAGTGCGCGCGACCTGAACAAGCTAAGAACCCGATCAAATCAATGTCTTAGTGATTTACCTAACAAGATGCCACTCTGTGCACTAGCTTCAGACTGGAGACAAATGGTAATAGCCTGAATGACGACAAGGCCCACGCGACACGGGTTAGCTTTTTTATACACCTAAACATACACATGGCACGCAATAATAAACAATAAAACAAATAACAATAATAAACGAACAAACAGATTCATGCCTGCAGTGAATAGTATATATATATACACGGCGTCGACTATATTTATGTGGTACTATCATGCCAGCAAAAGTGTCACAGGAAATAAAGAATATGCTGTTATTGTCATCGAACGCTGTATTGACTTGACGGAAATAATCACTAAAATTAGGTAGACGCAAGCTAGAATGAAATGAGGAGGATCGTCTTCGAGCGTTTTGCTGCAGGGAATATGAACGTTTCAATATTACAAGTGGTCGCGAAGGGACTAGGTAGAAAGCTGGACGTCCACACCGTTGAATTCAGCTAAAGCTATCGCATTTGCATGATGTCGAACTTGCAAAAAGAAGGTTGAGATACGGAAGTAGGGCATTTATGAAACAATTATGAGTAGGCAACCAGATGAGGCCTCTGCGGGGTTAGTCCTTCTTTCTTGAAGTGGCGGCCTCCAACGAATACTCATGAGGCTTCTGTGGGGGTTAGTCCTTCTTTCTTGAAGTGGCGACCTCCACCGAATACTCGGTTTGGACGACCCAATGCAGGATGGCACCTTAAACTTTTCGGCATTCTAGGAGATCTCCTTCTGGAAGCATAGAATTATTTCTTATTATCGCGAACCTTAACATCGGTAGCAGTTTTGATAAAAGTTACTACCGGTCCAACAATAGCTTATGCTAGGTACGAACGGGTGTAAGTAGCCTGGAAATATAGATAGACGACGTCAAAGGCTTGCTACTAGATGCTTATTAGTTGCCGGCTGTATAGCTAAGAAGTGCGCACAGATGGAGATCAAAAATAGCGAGCGACCTTTTCTGTCGATGTTTGTTCAATGCTTGCTGGCTTTGTTGTGTACGAGAAAGGACCCCTGCTTTCGTCAAGCCTGTAGAGTTTCCATAACTTGAAACTACAGCTTAATTCAGTTTTTACGCCGCTCTTATTGCTGTCATTTTTGTTCAGGGACGGCTATAATCATGTAGCAGGCTTGCAGTCCAACTACTTCCGTCTTCACTAGTAATTTTAAAGTTTTCAGATGGCGTAGCGTGTGCGCGCGCTCAGAGACTCATCCATACGGACCTAGCAGCAAATGTCTGCACGAAAGACCGGAAACACTCAGGGGAGCATAACACAATAAAAAATTTTTTTATTTTTTCACTCAAGAGCGAAGGAAGCAGAGGCTTTAATTAATATCCGAAGAAGCCAAGCCAAAGGAACGACTCCAAGTGAATAGGCTGCAAAACGTAGGAAATGACCGTCAGATGGCGGCCTTCTTTTGCCCGCCAGCTGCTGTTTTTGAAGACAATTCGTTGTTGCCGTTGGAACTACAGTTGCGGTAGTGGCTCTCTTTGGTTACTGCTCTACGCGTTGCTCCATTTTGGTTCGAAAACTCGTACGCTAGAAATTTCTGCGTTTTCCAGATTTTTTAAAGATATGAGCCTACATAGCCCCTTTAGTAGTGCATGCAAAAAAATGCTCAGAAGCAGGAGAAGAACAAATACTCAAGTATGACAAGGACGATATTTGAGCATTTTTCTCATTTCCAGGTTTCTTTTCATATGCTAGAACACATATGTGATTTCGTCTGAAGTATGTTAAGCCTTTACTGATGAACTGCGAAATATTCCGGAAAACCGTGGAGCAGGATTTCCTATCGGGTCCCCATATTTTACTGCAATATGGTAGCTAAACCGTTTTCAGTATTGGTGCAGCCTCAAACGCGAAAGGTTTTATTTACAAAATAGTGTACAAAATAGTCCAAGGTTGCACGCGTCATAGGTGGCTTAACAAGCATTTAATGCAGGCGCCCGATGGTAATATATTTGTTTCGTTCTAAAGCTAACCATAGTTATTCGGTTTAGCTTGAAAAGCCTGTAATTTCTTTTGTTTTTTCAATGGATTTATATAAGCCATTAATCGGTAACAAGTGATGTACCGTCTCATAAATATCAACTACAGCATAGAGTCCTCGTCTCTTTGCTTGCTGCGTAACGTCTTCCACCAAATCTTTCCACCGCTCTGTCCTAAAAAGACCCCAAATAGTCCACTCCGCAAGTAAACCACGTGCCCAAGCTATACTATTTCCTCCCATTGGAAATTGAGCTCCTTTGCTACCCAGTTATGTGCTGACAAAGAGCGCAAACGAGCTAAGGAGTAGTTTCTTAATAACATGGCAAATGAGGGTTAGGAACAATTAAACTGAATTGAAATTCGACTCAAACCGTCTGCTTAGCACACGATCACAGAAAACTAGCAAAACTTGTATAGTGGTAAACAAATCAAATCCATAAAAGCTATTCAACGGAAACGGTCGATAGAGATGGCAATTCATGTAAAATTAAGTCATATTAAAAAATCAATGTGGAAGGCCATTTACAAGCGCGCTAATATATGAGGGAAAGGAATGGCAGAGTTCCGAGTGACATCGATTATAGTCTTTTGGGTTGAGAACGATTAAGGCAGCTTGATTTCATGGAATACGTTAAGAGATGGTCCCTGAAGAAACTTCCGTGAGGCTCCAAGCTATTACTCGCATAAGATTTGTTAGAGATAGGTAAACAGGAACTACAGGTGTGCTCCATGTAGTAATATACAAAAATAGTTAAGCCTAGTTACGCAGTATATCCCTTTGTAATAAGGAATTCCTTTATACTTAAACGGGTTTTCCGTTTAGTTTCAGGTTCCGCCAGACCATTGCTTGCTCGAAACATCCTAACTGGTTGAATTGACTTCATTTACTTGGAGTTTATTTCAATGACTTGTGTTCTTTTTTTCTAGAACCGAAGTGTATATATAGAGTTATGTCTTTACAACTGTCGTCAGTAATCGGTCACTAAACCGTATAAAGGACTGATCTTGTGTGGTTTATTAAGAATGGGCGTTTCCCTTCGATCGCGATACGAAAACCTGCTGTTCGAGCTCGCAAAATAGTTGCAAGTAATAATCAGTTTATCTACTGATAAATGCCTGCGCGTCAAAAGTTTGGAGGCTACTGAATTTCGAAATGACGTGGCCCTCGAATACACTTCAAGTGTGCGCGTCTTTTACCGTAACCCGGCTCGGGGGTCAAAGGATGAAGGGGACTTTCGTACTGGAAATGAAGTTACTGAAGCATATTCATTACTCAGTATCATGAGGTTTTTCCGGCTTTCCAGAAGCTAAACAAATACGCTAAGAGCTGTTCGACTTACGCAAACTGGGCTTCGGCACAGTAGCAACAATGACATAGCTACCGAAAAACGGGAAATGCTATCCTAGGGAGGCTGGAACTTGCAGTGATTATAGACTGATATATAGGTGCACGAGTCTGAACACTGCATTTACAAGTGCAATACGGTCTCTATGAAATAATATCGTTTTGCCAACAGAGCATTTATACGCAAGCATAAGATGTTTATTTAAATAAAACCAAACGGTCGTCTAGTTTGGGATATCGGATCGTCGACAAAATGTTGATAGTTTTGAGCCAAAATTAATATAAACATTTTCTGTATTTTAAAATAATACTACTAAGCTAAATATTCGTTACTTTGCTAAATGAACTTCTGCCATTTTTCTGGTAGCAGCATAAATGCATTGCTGTAGAACGTCTGTGGCTTCTGGGAACAAAAATTGTCACTGACGGTCTTTGCATCTGTCTGTTGGAACAAAATGAACACCACTAAGAGAGATCTGTAGAGACCGAAACAGATGATCCTGTGGTAATGTACGATCCGGGCTACATTTCGGATATATTCAAATTTGCCACACAAGTTCTCTCAGATTTTGCTGGGAAGTTACATCCTTTAACTTGTGATAGAAGACGACACTTCTTCTGTCGACTAGTTCCACGTTTTACGACGTTTTACTAACTTGTTGTAATCTTGTTAGTTGCTAGTTAGAATCGTTTTGCCACTCATAGTGCACGACTCTTTTCCAATGGCACCGAGTACCTAACATCTTTGAGGTCAGTTTAGCCTTTGTCACAGGTTGCGAAGCGAATTTTCTTTATTCTACACATAATTGTTCCATGTGATCTATTTGTCATTAGCGGTGATCAACCGTTTAGGAAATGGCCCACTATTGCTTCTTTTCTGTGAAGATCGAACAGTTTTTTTACGTTAGTTCGTCTTGTACCTAAACATTGAGCTTTTTATGTAGCAAGCTTTCTTCAAAACATTTGATAATAAATGTTTGGTTTCCTAGCGATATTATGACTGCCCACATACCAACTTTGCTTAACTTTTGTCATAATTTTTTCAACTTTTCCGTATTTGCCCGACCATAACGAAGGTCAACATTTCCAAAACAGAACAATTTTTGGATTGTTTCCTCCAGTAATGCATCTTGATCATGAACAGTACAAATTTTTCTACGGGCCTGACTTCATAATAAAGATGTAAACATAGCAAACTTTTCAAGACGCTCTATCTGAAGTCCGAACGCATGTATTTTTAACATACCTACTACTGCCAAGCCTCGTTCTTCAAACAGCATCGATGCTAGCTGGACGTGTCTGACATTACCTGAGATGTGTGCTCTTGAAGCCACTTGGGTAGAAGAACGGTTAATACGGATTCGACAACAAACATCAAGAGTTGTCTTGTGTGGGTATAATACCCATTGTTGAAGCTACCTTTATTCGGTCGATCGCTGCTGGTCCTCAATTTCAGTGGTATCTAATATCGAAAAGCCAATAGGTCCTGACAAACTTCTATAAATTCCTGAAGGAAATTTTACCCGTCGAATATTTACAAACAATTTACCTTCTAAGCTCTACGTGTTTTACCTTTGTATTAGGCAATCTACCTCCAACAATTGGAGACTGCGACTCACAACAAAGCGCCGACATAGCTATTTTTCTATTTTGTGCAATAGATGTGCGAAAACTATGCGAGTGTTTCAATGGAAGGCTGGAGGAAAGGAGACTAGCTTAAAAGAGAGGTTTGGCAATAACGAAAGCACAGAGAGGCCAGGCAAAGGCAAACGTAAATGAATCGTGCAGACTAGGGCGGTTCTGGTACGTAGGCCAAACAGGGGAAAGGGCTTACTTCAACGAGGCAGCATTTTCTTGTTTCTTCCATTTATGTGGCTGTTTAGCGGCACGACTAACTATCTGCTGGACGTAACTCGATTAGAGAGCGTGCGGTAGGCGT